TGTCTAGTAACCTCAATCCAAGTAAATAAAATCAGAAATGCAAAAGACATTACAACTGATACCACCAAAATGCAAAGAATCATTACAGACTAGTATGAGCAATTATATGCAAATAAATTTTGAAACCCAAAGGAAATGGAAAAATTCTTGGGCCCTTATGACCTGCCAAGACTGAACTAAGAAGAAATAGAAAACCTGAACAGACTAATAACAAGTAATGACATCAACTTGGTGATAAAAAGTCTCCCCAGACAAAGAAAAGCGTGGGACCAGATGGCTTCACTGCTGAATTCTACCAAACATTTAAAGAAGATCTAATATCAATACTTCTTCAACTTTCTAAAGAAATTGAAGTGGATGGAATTCTTCCAAACTCATAATATGAGACCAGTATTACTCTGATACAAAAACCAACCAAGGACAGAACAACAACAACAAACCCCAAAATAAAACTACAGGCCAATATTCCTGATGAACATAAGTGCAAAAATCCTCAAAATAAAATTAGCCAAAAAGAATCCAACAGCACATCAAAAAGATTATACACCATGACCAAGTGGGATTTATCCAAGGGATGCAACAATGTTCGACATATGCAATTCAATAAACAAGATATATCACAACAGTAGAAGGAAAAACAAAATATGGTCCTCTTGATAAATGCAAAAAAAGAATTTGATAAAATTCAACATCCCTTCATAATAAAAAATTTCAATGAATTAGTTATAGAAGGAAAATATTTTAATACAATAAGTGATATATGACAAACGCACAGCTAACATCATACTGAATGGAGAAAAGCTGAAGGCTTTCCTCCTAAGAACTAGAACAAGACAAGGATGTCCACCCTCACTGCTTTTATTCAACATAGTACCGGAAGTCCTAGCCAGTGCGATCAGGCAAGAGAGAAATAAAAGGCATCTACACTGGAAAGGAGGAAGTTAAATTGTCCCTGTTTGCAGATGACGTGATTTTACATAGAGAGAAATCTAAGGACTCTACCAAAAAACTACCAGACCTGATAAACAAATTCAGTAAAATGGCAGGATATAAAATCAATATATAAAAATTAGTAGCATTTCTATACACCAACAATGATAGCAACAACAACAAAATGAAATACTTAGAAATAAATTTAACCAAGGAGGTGAAAGATCTCTGCAAAGAAAACTATAAAACACTGATTAAAGAAATAGAAGAAGACACAAAAAAATGGAAAGACATCCCATACTCAGGAATTGGAAAAATCAACATTGTCAAAATGACCACATTACCCATAGCAGTTTACAGATTCAATTAAATCCCCATCAAACTACCAATGATGTACTTCACAGAAATAGAAAAAATGATCCAAAAATTTATATGGAACAATAAAAGACCCCAAATAGCCAAAGCAATCCTGAGCAAAAAGAACAAAGTGGGAGGCATCACCCTCACAGACTTCAAATTATGCAACAAAGCTATACTAATCAAAACAGCATGGTACTGGCACAAAAAACATACATGTAGATCAATGGACCAGAATAGAGAACCCAGAAATAAAACCACATATCTACAGCTACCTGATTTTTGACAAAGGTGCCAAGAACACACACTGGTGAAAGGACAGTCTTTTCAATAAATTGTGCTGGGAAAACTAGAGATTCATATGCAGAAGAATGAAACTAGACCCTTATTTCTCACCATATAAAAAAATCAACTCAAAGCTACCATCTGTGGGATTCTGACTGAACACCTGTTAAGTCAGAATCCTACCCAGGTGGAATGATATAGCCACACTGTGGAGCCTCAGCTGATCTCAGAGAGCTGGTCCCCCACCATCCCTGCCAGGCGGGCTGCTGCCCCATGTGATGCACCCAGCTGTGGGTCAGGGAGGGTCTGGTGCACAGCCCCTCCTCCTGGGAAGCAGGGTGTGGCCAGAAAGGTGGCTGCCCTCTCACCTGTCATGCAAGGCACTTGGGGAACCCAGTGCTAAACAATTCTAGAGGACCTACTTCTGGGTTGGGGTTTTGCAGCAGAGCAGCTCCGTCGCTGTGATCTATTGAGAGTTAGTCCTCAACACAAGGGCTTGTTTTTTGTTTGTTTGTTCATTCATTTGTTTTCTTTTTATATTTTTATTAATATTATTATTCTTTTACATTCTATGATGTTGTTGTGGAGCGGTTGGGAGGAAAGTGGAGAGGGGAAAGTGTAAAGAAAAAGGATGGAAAAAGGAGGATGGGCGGGATTGAGGCCAGTGGCACTCCCCTCATTCCCACAGGGGTGACCAGGGGGCTTCCAGCGGTGGCTTGGTCATTGCCGAACTGGGTGCAGTTTGTTTGTTCATTTGTTTTCAAAATTTTTTTAACAAACCATAAAATAAAAATCAACTGAAAATGGATTAAAGACTTGAATGTAAGACCTGAAACTATAAAACTTCTATAAGAAAACATAGGGGAAACACTTCCGGACATAGGACTGGGCAAAGACTTTATGAATAAGTCCTCAAAAGCACAGGCAACAAAAGTAAAATAAACAAATGGGATTATATCAAACTCATAAGTGCCTGCACAGCAAAGGAAACAACCAACAGATCAAGGTGACAACCTGCAGAATGGTACAAAATATTTGCAAACTGTAAATCCACAAGGGATTAATATCCAAAATAGACAAGGGACTCAAATAACTCAGTAGTGAAAAATAAAAACAAAAACAAATAATCTGATTAAAAAATGGGCAAAGGAGCTGAATAGATATTTCTTAAAAGGGCATACAAATGACCAAGAGGTATATAAAAAATACTCAACATCACTAATCATCAAGGAAATACAAATCAAAACCACATTGAGATATCATCTCACCCCAGTTGGACTGGCTATTATCAAAAAGACAGAGAATAACAAATACTGGTGAGGATGCAGAGAAAGGGGAACACTTATATACTGTTGGCGGGACTATAAATTGGTGCAGCCATTATGGAAAACAGTATGGAGGTTCCTCAAACAACTACAGATAGAGCTGCCATATGATCCACCAATCCCACTACTGGATATATAACCAAAGGAAAGGAAATCAACATGTTGAGGGGATACCTGCACTCCCATGTTTATGACAGCTGTATTCACAATAGAAAAGATTTGGAACCAACCTAAATGTCTTTCAATGGATGATTGGATAAAGAAAATGTGATATATATGTGCAATGCAATACTACTAAGCCATAAAAAAGAATGAAATTCTGCCATTTGCAACAACATAAATGAGCTTCAGAAAATTATGTTAAGCGAAATAAGCCAGGCACAGACAGAGAAATACCACATGGTCTCACTCACACGTGGAAGTTAAAAAAGTTGATCTCACAGAAGTAGAGAATAAAATAGTGGTTAATAAAGACTGGTAAGGGGAAGGGGGGAGATGGGGAGAGGGCATTCAATAGATTATAAAATTGTACAACGATAGGAAAAATAAGATCTAGTGTTCTATAGCAATATAGACAGACTACAGTTAACAGCAAATTACTGTATAACTTCAAGTAGCTAATTGAAAGGATTTTCAGTGTTTCCAACACAAAGAGGTAACAAATGCTTGAGGTGATGGATGTGCTAACTACCCTGATGTGACCATTGCACACTGTGTCAATGTACCCAAAATCACATTGTACTTCATAAGTATATACAATTATCATGGGTAGATTAAGAAAAATTAATTAAAAACAAAAAAATTAGAGTGTAGCATAGTGGTTATCAGAGGCAAGAAAGGGGAGGGGGGAAGGGATGGGGAGGAGCTGGTAAATAGGCACAGAGTTACAAAATTACAGTTAGATAGGAAGAATAAGTTCTTTGCTCTAGGATGACTATAGCTAATAATATCGTACTGTATATTTCAAGATAGTCAGAAAAGAGGATCTTGAATGTTATAACCACAAAAAAAGGATAAATATTTAGGCAATAGATATGCTAACTATTCTGATTAGATCTTTATACAATATATGCATGTAATGAAACAATAAACTGTATACCATAAAAATGTACAAGGAAATTTTTTTTTTAAAAAAAGACATTGTAATGCACACTAAACAGTCTTGTTTTGAAGCAAAGATAGGCAAATATATTATGAGTATATGATTCAAATAAAGAGCAGTATGGAAGGCATGGGGGTTTTTTTTTTACTAAAAGTTGCTTGGTTAACTGGATATCTGCTTGGGAGAAAATGAAACTTGACCCCACTTTACACACTACACAAAATCAATTTCAGATAGATTGTGGATATAAATGTGAAAGGCAACAAACAAAACCAACCCACACCCAAATATTAAAAATTTAATCACAAACTTCTATGAGTTTGTATAGGAAACTGTGATCAGACGCTGGGGCTAAAGAGATACTTCTAAAACAGAACACTAGAAATACTAATCATAAAGAAAAAGATAGTTAAATTTGACTATATTAAAATTAAGAATTTCTGTTCATCAAAAGCCATATTTAAGGGATTGAAAGGCAAGACCGAGGATGGAAGGATTCCTGCAACAATCAAGAAAGAACTCATAACCAGAATAGATAGAAAACTGTTACTAATGAGTAAGAAAAAGACAAATAATATAATAGAAAAATAAATATTTCCAAGTGGTTAATAAACAAATGGAAAGGTATGCAACTGCCTTAGTAATCAGGAAAAAGCAAAATGAAACTGCAATAATATATTACTATTCACTACACAAAATGACTAATGCTAAAACACTAATAATAGTAAGCTTTGGTAAGGATATAGAACAACTGGAACTCTTACACACTGCTGGTGGGAATGTAAATTTGTACAATTACTTTGGAAAATTGAAATAATCTACTGAAGCTGAAAAAACACATATCCTATGATTCAGCAGTTACTCTTCAAGATATGTACTCAAGAGAAATCTGTCACTGAGAGATATGCATAAGAAGGTTCACAGCAAAATTTTTGTTAACAGCTCCAAGCTGGAAACAACTTGCATGTTCATCAAAAATAGAGTGGATAAATTGTGTTATTTCACACAATGTCTACTCTACAGCCATGAAAATGAATGAAGGAAAGCCACACAACAGCATGGATTAATCTCACAGACAATTCTGAGTAGAAGAAACCAGATACAAACGAATACATACTATATATTTCCCTTTCTATAGAGTTCAAAAAGCTGACAAATCTAAGCAAAAGTGTTTCATGATTTATGTTTAGTTGTAAAATTATAAAGAAAAGTGAGGAAAGCATTATCATAAAGGTCAATGCTACCAGTCCCTTTGTGGGGAGTAATAACTGTGAGGAAAAGGATGGGGGCTTTTGGGATGCCGGTAATGTTTTATTTTTAAAAAACCTGAATAGTAGTTACAGGTGTGTTTATTTCGTGATAATTCAGAGTTGTACATTTTGTTTTTTACATGTCGTATGTGTGCTATATTTTATAATAAGCAGAATAAAAAGGCTGTTCTTTTTCTGCTATTCCATACCTGGCACAGCATAAAATTGAGAGGGTCCTCTGGCTTTTCATAGACTAATTTTTCGGTGATCTGCTGAGAAAGAGCATAAGGTATCACATTATGGTACTGAGTGAAAGTTATGTGGTCAAGTTATATCTGATGCAGTCTTTCCCACTAACCTAACATCCACCATAGCATTTTGAAGAAATTCCTGTATTTCTGCAAAGTAACAACTTACTTTCTCACTACTGATAAAATTAGGCAAATTAAGGTAAAATGTGGTGAAATAAAAATTTAGTAAAAAATTGCATTGGATATTTTTATTAGTTTCCAAAATCAAAGAGGTAGTGAGAAAGTTTTGAAGCAAGTCTTTGTTTTGAGAATTGTAATTTTGCTAGACTAGGAAATTAATAAATTACTTGCTTAGAAGAATAGTCAAGGAAAAGTCTTCTGAATAAAAACTTTAAAACACTGTATGATTTTACACAGAAAATTTCTTCTGAGGCACTTGATTCTAAAGGTAAAAATGATGTTAAGTGTTTATAATATTAAATGATAAAGTTTATATAAAACTTCAGAGATTCAATTCCATACTTTTTGGTCATAGAATAACTCAAAAAGTTATGGGAAAGTAAGCACAATTCTCATTTGCAAGGAATAACAATCAGGTGAATTTCGGTATAAAATATTCGGGTCATTTTAATGCACTCAATGTCATTAAATTAATATTTTTATTAAACACATATTTGATAACTAATTTTTCTTAAAACAATATTGTATACATAAGCAGTACTTTCTCTTGACAGACGAAGAAAATAGATTGATCAAAACTCTACTTCCTTCAATAGTTTCGTACTTCAGTTTAATAATTAGCAGTTCTTTGACTAAAGCCAGAAACCCAGCCAATAGTACTCTCCCAACAAAAGAACATTTTAAGAAGAAAAAGTAATAGAGCAGAGTTAGTGAAGTAGACATCACATATTCCTATTTTATATCCGGAATCTGAGGTTCACAAAAGTTAGGTAATGTTCTCCAAATCAAAGATACAATGTTACAAAATTAGGATTTGAGCCTTGGGTTAACAAATTGCAAAATTTGTGCTCTTTCCTCTATATCCTATGTCTTTAAGTTTAACCTTTTCCAGCTTATAGCTTTTATTTCGGTGGGCTATTCTTACTTTCCACCTTTCTAACCAGACAGTTACTGCATGTATATATGTTGTTATATATGTATACGTACATTGTTGGGTAAATAATATTAACATAAAAATAAACATGGCAGTCAAACAACCATCACCTACCGAATACTAAAAAGGAAAAAAATTATAGACGTGCTAATCTCTTTTAATTCCATATTGGCCAAGGAATGTCATACTTTAAAGAAGGTTCTAGCATCACATCCTGAGGCTCATGAGATTTGTAATTTGAAGAATTAAAAGCAATTTTTAACTATTTCTTTTTTCTCTCTAAAGAATGTGGATTCTTATATGGTTTCCAGATTGGTCATCTTTTGAAAGTGTTATATTCCTGTTTGGAAAGCCTTTCTCTCTCCTTTTTAATTACTAATATTTTGTCCTTTCTTCCTGGTCCTGTTAAAATGTTAAGTCTCTGGCCAAGTTTTTTCCCTACCAAGCAACATAACTGACACCTAATCCCTCTGAAGGGCTTGATATCATGGTATCATTTATTTGGTGTTTATTATTCACTACTTTTGGTAAATACATTTTAATGCACTTACTGACTTAGATTATATCCCCTTTTACAGCATACGCGCTTCCTTGTGCCTCTTGAAAAATTCACAGTTAAAGAAAGGGATTGAGAGGTTTACCTGGAATATTTGCAGAATGTGGTGTTTCTCCACGTATTGGAGTGAAACTTGATAAGGATCTTCATATACTATAAGAGGGAACCTCCTCCTATAAGTTTGATTGTATGTGTGAGAACTCTTTTCTTGCTTGAATTCTGAAAAATCCTGAAATTGAAATATCCCCCCCACCAAAGAATCTTTAATAAATCTACAAGTCCCCCCAATTTTTTTTTTTTTTTTTTTTGTTGTTAGTGGAATCAATTTTGATAGGATTTTAACACCAGGAATTGGAGAAAAGGAACATCCTTCTGGCAATATTCACCTCAAGTCTTGGGAGATACCTTAGGTATCTCCAACCTACTTCAAATACGTTTACCTTCACAGGGCTCTCCAATTTACTCCAACTTCCTTTCCCATGGTAGAAGCCCAGATAGGGGAAATGACACAGTGTCATAGAATTAGTAGCAGAACCAGGACTTGAAACCTAGGTTTCCTGAATCCTGATTAATTCATCTTTCCTGAATGGCCTTAGGGTAATAAAGAAGGTAATACATTCTCTTTTATTTCCCCCACTTCATTTGCCCTTCCTGAAACTTATGGGTCACATCACAACACATAGGTTTATTGCTCATCCTTGATCCAACACATGCCTTCCCAGCCCTCACCCCTACCCCCACCCCTATAGGCCCCATCTTGGCATCCAACCTCCTAGGTAGGTAGCAATGCCCTTTTAACCTACAGAATTGGTTTCTATGGCTTGAGGTTTTTCTTGACTGATGAGATAGTCCAATTTGGGTGAGATGGAGGAGGATCTCTGGAAAAAGGCTGGGTCTCTTGCTTGAAAATTACTGGTGAATCTGGAATCAGCTGGGTTGTAGGCTTGGCTAACACTCGCACTTTTAGTTTCAGTTTCCATTGCAAATAAAAGCTTGGAATTGAGGTGTGTTTGGCTGTCCTCAAATTTGCAGGGCTGTATTCTGTAGTCAGCATCTTTGTGCTCCTTGCTGTAGCCAAACTTGGGAAATGTTTTGTCCTCAGACTGGCCAAGTGCTCCATAGTAAGGCAGGTGGTCTTCTTCATGCTCAGCCTGTTTGTCCGCTAAGTGGTCAGCCTGGTCAGATTCACTGTAGTCAGCCTTGTCAACTATAAGTTGATCAGCATGGCTGTCAACTTGATCAACAGCCTGGTGTTCAGCTAGTTTAGTGTCTTGGTTATATACTTGGTGGTGAGTCTTTACAGATGTTCTGTGCTCAACTTGGTTAGGCAGTATCTGGTCAATCCATTTAGTTTTTTGGTCAACCAGGCCAGATGATCTAAGGTCAATTTTTTCAGAACTTCCTTGGCCAGCTGGGCCAGACAATCTGTGGTCAGTCTGCTCAGAAATTCTTCTCTCAGCCTGGCTGGACATTCTATGGCCAATCTGGTCAGAAATTCTTCGGTCTGTCAGGTCAAGCACCTGGTCGTCATCCTCTTCAAACTCCACATTATCAGCTTGGCTAGATGACTCGCCTTTAGTCTGTTCAAACCATCCTTGGTCAACCTCATTATATACTCTAAGATTAGCTTGACTAGATGTTCTGGCCTCAGCGTATTCAGATACTTTGTGGTCAGGTTGGCCAAATAAGTAGGGTTCAGCCTGGCCAGACAGTCTGTGGTCAGTTTGGCCCACTATTCTGTGATCAGTTTGGTTACCTGCCTCCTCTTTGGCCTGGGTCTTCTGGTTGTCTTCTTCCTGGACATTAGTGTGGCCTACAGTTGGGGGCGCGGCTGTGCTTTCACGTCCCAAGGATTGGTCTGGGGCCTCTTCTGGAGGCTCTGCCATTTTCTGCCGCGTCGCTGACTGGTCTAGGTTGCCAGGCGTTGTGGGTGGGGCCCGCCTGAGTCGTCGTCTAGGCGACAGATGCCCGCAGGCTTTGTGCTGCGGGCCCCCGAGCTGGAGGGCGAGAGGGTGCCCGTCCGCTGTCAGGGAAAGGGCCGCTGGGCGGCGGACGCGAGCGCGGGGCGACGCCTTCCCCGACAGGAGGCAGTTTCCACGACCCGCAGCCCGGCTTCTGGACGACTGCCCGCCACCAGGCCTCGGGGCTCCCACAGCCGTGACCTCTTGATCATTTCATGCAGGTTCTCAGCGGCCTGTACCGTTCCTCTAAGGAACACCCCCCAAACGTTAACAGATGTACGTGCAACCAACCACACTGGAACCACGTACCTGAACAGAGGTTACCATTGCCGTCAACTCAAATTCACGCTTCGTCTGGTACTGGCTTTTGTCTCCAATCACAGCCGTGCTGCACAGTAGCATGTTATTTGGGGGCCCTGTGCTAGCAAATGGTCCTGCTAAATGTTGTTCTTCTTTACATTCTAATCGGTACTATGGTGAGGCGGCCAAATTACATTCTTTCACTTAAAAAAACATTTTTTTTTCAGTACTGTCTTTACAAACAATGCCAGTGCTGACTGTTTTCAGTGGTACCAGGAAGAGTTTAGTCTTCCTAACACCCATGTTGCCAAAGTCATATGGCTCTCTCCTCACCCCTGCACCCTCACAGCCCTTGGCAGTTCATTTCTGCAGGAGCATCCTCTTCCCGTCTCAAGGGACAGGTGAGCAGTTGCTTTCCATTCCCTCTGGAAAAAGCTGTCCTGACTGTGGAAACTCAAGCTGCAAGGTGTTTTCTTACTAAATTAGTCAGAGGATCTATGCCTGCATTGCCAGAGGGAAGAAAGAAGATCCACCGAGAATGGGTTCTAAAACCACACCATCTACAGAATAATATTTCCATACATGTATACAATGTGTAATGATCAAATCTCAGGATAATGAGCACATTCATCACCACAAACATTTATCATTTCTTTGTGTTGAGAACATGCAAACTCCTCTCGTCTAGCTATTTGAAAATATACAATAAATTATTGTTAATTATAGTCACCTAGCACTGTAGAAAACTAGAGCTTATTCTTTACCCCACAAATACATACATAATTATTATGTGTGAGTTAAAAAATAAGAAATTTCTTTTTAAAATGTAGAAGAAAAAAGTCACACCACCTATTAGTCCTCTAGAAAAGAGGGGTGAAGAGGAGGAGGCCAAACCAGAGTTCCAGAAAGGAAGGTAATAAGAAAAGTGGGAGAAAGATACCAGAAGGAATATACAGCAAACGGAGAATTTGCACTTTGTGGTTGTGGCCAGCGAGATTCAGGTTTTGAGATTTGGCCCTCCCTGTTTGAAATAAACCTTAAAAATGCACTTTGGAGCAGCAGGCCTGCTACTTTTAGGGGAGGGCAGTACAGAGGTGGTGATAGATGAGACATTTTCCTTTGACTCTTGAAAGCCTGAAATCACCAAAGGAGGCTGAGCATGGGTAGTGTGATGCCAGATATTCTTTTAATAGGGATTTAATTGCATTGAACAGATAGAGATGAGACTGGGATTCCAAGTGCAAATATTCGTGACCAAATGTGACAGGGAGAATGGGTACCCTTGGTGCCATACTTAGGAGCAAAAGGAGAATCTAGGCACACTGAAGTAAAATTATTTATGTAACTGTTCCTCGAACGTAGTATATGCAAGAAGTGTTTGTTGAGTGTAAATTTATGAATGATCTGCCTTACTGAAAAATGCATGGAGCAAATGGAAACTGTATGTAGACTAAAATAGGTGACAGGCTATAGATTGCCACTTCAAAGGGGCATTGGTCTTGTGGATTTGTTTTTCCATTTTACAAGTTAAATGTAATCATGGTAGAAATGTAAGAAAAACAAACATAAGGAAAAAAATTTTCCAAACACTCAAGAAATAATCTTTATTAGCATTTTGATGTATAGCCTTCTGGAATTTCCCCCATGCAAATCTATATATATTTACATACATTTCTGTAATCTATATACATATCTATAGACAGTATAAATTTTACAAATTAATTATTTATTAATTTGAGATTATTTTTCTTCTTTTTAAATGTAGGTGTTTACAGATATAAATTTCCCTCTAAGCATTACTTTTGCTGCATCCTGTAAGTTTTTGGTATGTTGTGTTTTCATTTTCATTTAAGGTATTTTCTTATTTCCCTTGTGATTTCTTCTTTGACACATTGGTTGTTTAAAACTGTGCTGTTTAATTTCCAAATATTTGTGAATTTTTCTGTTTTTCTTCTGTTATTGATTTCTAGCTTCATTCTACTGTGTTCAGAGAAGATACTTCACATGATTTCAGTCTTTTAAAATATATAAGGGCTTGTTTTGTGGCCTAATGAATGGTCTATCCTGGAGAATGTTCAATGAAAAGAATGTGTGTTTGCTATTGTTGGGTGGAATGTTGTTTATATATTCTTTAGGTCTAGTTGATTTGTAGTGTTGTTCAAGTCCTGTATTTTCTTACTGATTGTCTATCTATATGTTCTATCCATTATTGAAAGTGGAGTATTGAAATCTCTAACTATTATTGTAGATCTGTTTATTTCTCCCTTTGAATCCATCAGTATATGCTTCATATATTTTGGAGCTCTGCTTTTAGGTACAAATATGCTTTTAATTACTATATCTTCTTGTTTAATTAGCCCTTTTTTCACTATATAATGCACTGCTTTGTCTCTTGTAACAGTTTTTACTTAAAGTCTATTTTGTCTGATATTATTTGGCAACTCCAGCTCTCTTTTGGTTACTGTGTGTGTGGAATATCTTTTTCCATTCTTTTTCTTTCCACCTATTTGTATCTTTGGAATTATGAAAAGTCTCTTGTAGACAGCATATAGTTGAATTATATATTTTTTAAATCCATTCTTTCAATATATATCTCTTAATTGGAAAGTTTAATCTATCTATATTTAAAGTGATAAGGAAGGATTTACTTCTACCATTTTACTATATGTTTTCTCTATGTCATATCTTTTTTGTTCCTCAGCTTCTTTATTACTACCTTCCTTTGTGTTTAGTTGATTTTTTGTAGTGTACTATGTTGAATCCTTTCTTATTCCTTTTCTGTATGCATTCTTGAGTTATTTTCTTAGTGGTTACCTGGGGATTATTACAATTAAACTCTTAAACTTATCACAACTTACTTTGGATTAAAACCATCTTATCTTCAATAGTATATAAAATTCTGCTTCTATACAGTTCTGTTCTTCCCGTTTTATGTTTTTGTTGTCATGAATCACATCTTAATACATCGTGTGCACATTAATATAAACTTATTATTTTATGCATCTGTCATTTAACTCACATGGGAAAAGAGTTGCAAACCAAAAATACAATAATACTGGGTTTTAAATTTACCTATATAGGTACCATATGGCTTCAAGTTACTATCTAGTGTCTTTCATTTCTACTTGAAGTTCTCCTTTTAGAATATCTTTTATGGAAAGACTACTATAGATTAACTCCCTCAGATTTGTTTATTTAACAAAAAGTCTTAAGTTCTTTATTTTGAAGGATAGTTTTGCTGGGTATAGAATTCTTGGTTGAAAGTATTTTTCTTTTAGCACCTTAAATATGTCATGCTACTTCCTTCTCACCTCTGTGAGTTCTGCTGAGAAATTGTTAATCTTGAGGATTCTCATATGTGAGAAGTTGCTTCTCTTTTGTTGCTTTCAAGATTCTCTCTTTCAAAAAGTCTTTGTCTTTTGACAGTCTGATTGTAAGATATCAGTGTAGATCTTTTTGTGTTTGTTATTTTTAGAGTTTGTTTAGCTTCTTAGGTGTGTAGATTCATTTCTTTTATCAAATTTGGGAAGTTTTCAGCCATTTCTTCAAATATTCTTTCTGTCCCTTTCTCTCTCTTCTCTCTCTTCTGGAGCTCCCATTATGTATATTTGGTACACTTGATGGTGTCTCATAGGTTTCTGAGGTTCTGTTAATTTTTCTTTATTATTTTCTCCTTATTGCTCCTCAGGCTGAATAAATTCAATTGGCGTATCTTTAAGTTTGCTGATTCTTTTTTCTGCCTGCTCAAATCAGCTGTTGAAATCCTTTTGTGAATTTTTAATTTCAGTTATTGTTCTTTTCTGCTCTGGAATTTTCATTTGGTTTCTTTTTATAATTTCTATCTCTTCGTTGCCATTCCCTATTTGTTGAGATATCATTCTCCTGCTTTCCTATAGCTCTTAGTTCACAGTTCTCTTTAGCTCTTTGAACATTTTTAAGACAGTTTGTTTGAAGTTTTTGTCTCGTGTGTTCAGTATTTGTGTTTCCTCAGTGACAGTTTCTGTTAATTTTTTCTGGGAATGAACTATACTTTTTATGTCTTTGCATGTTTCACAATAAAAAACAAAAGTTAAAAACTGGAAATCATATATTATAATGTAGCAACTCTGGAAATCATATTTGTCCTCTGCTCAGAGTTTGTTTTTGTTGCTTATTCTGCTTTGTAATTGTTTGACTTTTCTAAGCTATTTTTCTAAAGACTATATTCTTTGTCATATGTGGTTTCTGAAGCTTTTGTTCCTTTACTGTGTGGCCAGCTATTGTTTTGAAAGAGATTTTCTTGAATGTCTGCAGCCAAAAACACAAAATGAAAAAAGCTTTTCTGGTCTTTGTAGATTGGCTCTGTGTTGGGAAAGTCCTCAATACTTACAACTCTGCCTTGTCCTTTATTTCCTGCTTACATGGAGCTTAACACCAGCCACAGGTGAATGATTAGGGTTGTCTCAGGTCTTTTAGGAGCATGCATCCTGCCCTGGGCATGCATGTGTCTTTCTAGATATCCAGTAGATGGAAAATTTTTGATGCCCCAATTATTCAAATAATCTCTCTCCTCAGCTTTTTCTTCCAAGCTTTCAGCTGTCTATTTTCTTAAATTTAATTTAATTTTGTCAATATACAATGTGGTT